TGTAAATTTTGGTCAATGACATGAGACAAAGTATATGTGAACTGCTGTATGAAAAGTGAATTTACTCTGTAAATCTTCACCCAAATCAAAATAAAATTTAAAAAAAAAAAAATGGTGGTTCTTGCCATCTATACTTTGGGTATTGATAGTGCTATCAACTGCGTACATCAGTAATCTTCTTGATACTTAATTTATAGGGTCATTTTGAAAATCTTGAGTTTTTTAATTTGACTCTAATTTTTTTTAAATAGAGTTAAGTAAAATTGTTTTATAAAAGACTAAAACTTCCCAAATATCTTTCCAAGGATAAATTTTATTATTTGGCAATATATTTCAGAAAGTCTCCCAAACTTAACATAGAAAAAGATACTCGAAATTAATAATTTTAAAGTAATTATTAAAAATAAGATATCCCATCAATAATGTGTTCGTTATATTTGCAGTTTTTTCTCTAAACATTTTGTTTTATTTCAAATATGTATTAAAAAAAATAACATAAAGCTTAAATTAAATCTTGGAAAAAAAATTGTTTCTTACAGGGCTGATCCTTTGTCCAACATGGTTCTTACCTTCAGTACTAAAGAAGATGCATCTGCCTTTGCAGAAAAAAATGGTATGTTTGTTCTGTTTTTGTTTAGGAATATAGAGTTTGAATTGGAAGAAGTTTTTTAATATATATAATCTGGTGGATTTTAGTCTTTTTTACAGCATCAGAACCCATCCCCCATCCCCAAAAAAAGAAATCTACAATAGAACTCCAGTGTACTAGAACATGTCAAAGCCAACTTCTCTAATTTTGAGTAGAGTCAGAGAATAAGAATACTCATCTAACCCCCTGCCTTGTCTGTGAATCCTTCTATAGATCACTAACATTTGGTTATCTAAACTAATTGAACATGATTTATGAGACCGTCTATTCCAGTTTGGACACCTGTTTATTTGAACATTCTTTCTTACTTTGAGCAAAAATCTCATTCCCCCTATTCCATATCATAGGTTTTCAATTTTTTGAAAATTGGTATCAATATCATATTCCCCTGTAAATTTCCTTTCAGCCTAAATGTCTCCATTTGCCTGTTACGTAGGTATGGTGGGCCGAGCACCAAGCATAACTTTGACTCTATAATATAAATGCAACAAGAATATGTTAGCATTTGAGGAAGGCCCTAAAACTGTTGGGTCATATTGAATTTACTATCAATAAAAACTCAAAATGCCTTTTTTTTTCATTTTCTATACTGTTTTTCATTTACTACACTGTTAAACCATGCAGTACAGTGTAGTGAAAGGAGGTTATGGCATCAGAGCAGTCTGGATTCTAATCCTTGTTATGCCATTTTCATGCTACATGATTTTGGATTAATTGCAGAATGGATTTAGTATGTCTTCATTGCCTGAATAAGGGTACTTATCTCATAAAATGGGTATTCTTAGTTCAATATCTGATCCATATCAGATATTATATACATCATATAACATCAGATATTATATATATCATATAATATCAGATAGCTGTTAGTTCTGACCCTCACTTCCATCCACTTGCTGTTCTGCTTTTTGTCTTCCTTGGATTTAAATGTGCTACATTTAAATTTATACTTAATGCATTCTTTTGTTCTAGTCTTAGTTATCTATTCAAATGAGATAATGTCTCATGTGCACTGTTAACTGTAAGGCAGTATATAAATGTAAAAGATAATTGTTAATCAACATTTTTGACATATAAATGTGAAAGCACTATAAAAGTTATTATTATTATCTAAAATATTTGCTTTTCTTCCCAACTTAGTATCATAAGTTACTAGTTTATAGTTAAAAGTCCAAAACCATGGTTTGAAATCATGTTGAGTCACATAGAATTTGTATGCCTTTGTGCTTCAGTTTCCTCATGTCTACAATGAGAATTGCTGTGAGGATTAAATTAGTTAATAAAAGTAAAGTGCTTGGTAAGCAAGTATATAATAGTATTTAAGTATAGTCATGTGCTGTGTAATGTCTGATCATGTACACATCTGTGGTTGCATAAGGTTATAATAGAGTTCAGAAATCCTCATCAGGGAATGGGACATAGTGAATGCAACAGCTTCCTGCATGCAACACATGCATCTCATGTCTCTTATGTACAAAAAGATTGCATTACCCAGCATATAATGGTATAGAACCTATATAACCTAAATACATATGTCTTGATAGTCATAATAAATGTCTGTGTTCCTAGTTTATGTATGTATTGTATGGTATTTTCTATCTAAGATGTTTACCGTGTAAATGGTATATGTTTAACCTGTAGGGAGCTTCATCCAGTGTTGTGATTTGCACATCTCTTGAGTGTTTTGTAGCATTATATCTCTGTATCATTTTCTTTGGACAATATTACCATGAAGTCCATTGTGGCTCCCAAATGCAGTAAAATCAGTGCTAGAGATAACAGCAGCAAGAGGCAAAGGAGAAGTATTAATTTGGAAATGAAACAAAAGGTTATTAAACAATGCAAAGGTGGAAAATCAGTGAATTCTGTTGCTTGCAATTAGGCATGTCATACTCAACAATCACGATGATCTTCAAAAATGAAAAAATTCTCCAAACTATTGAAGGATGAGCTTCCCTGGAAGCTACAAGGCTAACAATAAATGTGAGAAAGATATATTATCATATATAGAGAAATTAATAATGATAGGGATTGAAGACCAAACACAAATGTGAATCCCTCTCAGCATGTTAACAATCACTCCTAAGGCACACAGCTTGTTTGTGATACTTTAAGAAAAAGCTGGACCAGACTAGGATATGGTGTTTGCACAACATCCTATTTCACAGAACGTATCATGGACGTTAAGTGATGTGTGACTGTATGTACTATAATTTTATTAGTGGTAGACAAAAAAAAAACAGAGCGAGAGAGAGGTTCATAAGTGCAATTCCTTATTAAAACTTTCTTGGCAAATCCCACATTTCTTAATTACATAATTGTTCTCAAAGTGATCTTACTCTTTAAAATATCATTTTGATTAAAAATTAACATTGCTCTTTTTAATTAAACTGTAATATCACTTAGAGAAACAGTTCTATTAATGTTTTTCATCTTTTCAGTCTACCATATTTCACGTCTGACACCTTGAAAATTATTCTTGAAGTCTGTAATGTGAATTTAATAACAGGAAATCTAATTAAACTGTTAAATCCCTGGTTAGTGTCTCTCTAAGTGGCCCCAAAGACTTGATGACTGTAGTTGCCATGTGAATTGGAGGTGTGAACCAGCCTCTGCTGCTGTTGAAATCTAGTGCCTTTCAAATCTAATTTCCATCTCTCTGGGAAAGAAAATTGAGGAACATTAGAAAAGTCAATAGAAAGAAAAATATGTATGTTTGGGGGGAGTACGAAGTATAACTTGAAAAAACTTAGTGAATATTGACATCCAAAACAATAGGTTAACAATGGATCAGAAGTTTTAACATATGAGGCAGTAAGAACTATATCTGTCTTGGTCATTGTTTTTTCCCCAGCACCTAGCACAAGACATATAATGGGCACTCAAAATCTAGTGGAATTAATGACTTTCTGAAAGAATATTCTCTACTCGAAAATTTGAAGCCACACTCATCTCCTGGGTCTTTGATTATTCTGCCTTTGCACTCACTATAAGGCTTGTAATTTGCCTCATTTATTTAACATTTAGTGTTCTGAATTTTTAAATAGATGAGTGCTGTTTTCTAGACATAGTTGAAATCTAAATGAACAACATTACAGTGTTACAGAATCATAGGGTAGGGGTCTTTTCCAAATTCTACAGCACTCCCAGCATTTTGATTTGGCTCCCTTCAGTAGGTGAATGCTGGGGGGGACATACAAGTGGGAGCTTCTCACAACCCCATCATTTCGATGTGAGCTAATGCTATTGAATGTTGGGTGAACTGAGATTCTGGTAAACTAAAGTATTTTTTAGAAAAATGGCTCAGAAGCAGTAGTATTAAAGGGTTACTGGATTAGGAGACTCGTGATTGGGATTCTAATTCCATAATTTTCCACTTCATAGGGTAGTTTGAGCAAGTCATGTTTCACCACATTTAGCTTTTGATAACCATGTTTCTTCATCTTTAAAATGAAAAATTGGATTGAGTAACAACCAGAAACTGTAGCATAAGGATGTAACCATCTCTTATATATTTTTATTTCCTTGCTTTCTAGCTTATTATGTGCTCTAGAGGGAAAAATGGTTTTTGTTGATACAGGTAATTCATTGTTGATAATAAAATTTGACAAAGGTTATCAACTTATGAGCATAAAGTGCTTAACTTTCAACAGTGTCTAGAAAGTGTAAGACTGATATAATTTATACACTTAATAACTATTCTGAAAATAAAAACTTAGCTTTCATCCTCTTCGTAGTTTTCTTATTTCCCTTATTTTAAAATGGTTAATAAAAAAAAAGGAAAGTTAACTCATGATCATCAAGTCTTTTGGCTTAAAAGATTGTATTACAAAGAATCACTAAAATGAGGAAAAAGATTGTCAGATCAGTTGCATTTGAAAAAAATCATTTTTAATACCTTCTGATTATATTGTAAGACTCAAGTAATAAAATCATCATAATCATCATCACAGTAGCTGACATTTCACAAATGCTAAATCATGAGGCAGGTACTATGCTAAGTGCTTTTCATTCTCCATTAATCCTCACAGCAACCCTAAGAGGCAAGGATAATTATTATTCCCATTTTATAGTTAAAGGAATGAGATTTAGAGACATTAAGTAATAAGGTCATATATCTAAAAGTAAGTAGGTGAATGAGTTTTATTTGAACATCCCCTAAACGTAGTACTTAAGGCATTTGATGGCTAACCAGAAAGCTGGCTGTTCAAACCCACCAGCCACTCCTTGGAAGGAAGATTGGGCAATTTACTTCTGTAGAGGTACGCCTTGGAAACGCAAGGAGAGGGTCACTATGAGTCAGATTGACTTGACGATAGTGAATGAGTGAGTGAAACCCACTACCATCAAGTTGATTCTGACATATAGCGACCCTTTAGGGCAGAGTAGCACTTCCCTGTAAGGTTTCCAAGACTGTATATCTTTATGAAAGCAGACTGTCTCATCTTTTCTCCCACGAAGCAGCTGGTGGGTTCGATCTGCCAACCTTTTGGTTAGCAGCCAAATGCTGTAACCACTATGTCACCAGAGCGCCTGTATTTGAACACAGTCGTATTCATTTATGTATTGCTGATGGCAACTTTTTAGCTACAGAGATGATGTTGTTGTTAAGTGCCATCGAGTTGGCTCCAACCCACAGCAACCCTGTGTACAACAGAATGAAACACTGCCTGGTCCTGCATCAGCCACACAATCATTGCTATACCTGAGTGTATCATTGCAGCTGTGGTATCAATCCATCTCACTGAGGGTCTTCCTTTTTTCCGCTGACTGCACTTTACCAAGCATGATACCCTTTTCCAGGGAATAGTCCCTTCTGACAACATGACCATTGTATGAAAGGTGAAGCCTGGCCATTCTTTCCTTTAAAGAACATTCTGGCTGCACTTCCTCCAAGACAGATTTATTTGTTATTTTAGCAGTCCATAGTATTATATTAAAGTAGTCCACTTTAATATTCTTTG